TTAGTTTCCAATTCACTTGGTTTTCTTTGTTATTCATAGGGTTGTATATACCATAGAAACTTAAAGCCGGGGAGGGATTTGATAATCAGCAGGGAAATGTGGGGTTGATGAATTGAATTGAATAGCTAGTTATAAATTCAGCGGGCTATATATGAGTGACCGGAATCACTCATATATAGCCCGCTGAATTTATAACCAGCTATTCGATTCAATTCATCAACCCCACATTTCCCTGCTGAATATCAAATAAACTTAGTAAACTAAACTATTTTTTCCCTTAAAAAGACCAGTGTGACTAGCAAAACTTGACGGGAGATTGAGCGCGTAATAAGTTCGAGTCCCGCAGCTTTTCTTCGTGTTCATCAGAGAAAAGAAATAACAATAACCATCTTCGTTACTTTTAACTAAGAATCTATACGTCGAAATTGGGCCAACGTGTATGAATCAGAAGTAATAGTGTAACTCGTATTTCTCCGCTCCTCGGTCCATTCTATCCAAGCACGTACACACGGCCATTTGGTACTTTAGTTTGTTCCTTCTGGAATCCTTCCCTCGTATTTCTTTGAGCGAGTTCAACATCAAAAACTATTGTAATTTTTCTCTTGTTTTTCTCATCTGCAGACTTTGTCATCGTTATATTTGCGGGCAGAGGCATACGGAGTTCCAAATCCGACTCAAATAGTCAATATCAAAGTTCGTCAAAGGAATGATGTCAAACGTATTTTGAGCTATACACAAATCGTCGTCACTGTTCGACATCGTTTCCAGAATGACTGTTAAGAATATTTGATAACAATATTCAAAATTGGATAGCTCGCTTTCGCATGAACAGGTTTTCTTAAAGGAAACTAATTTCAACAGTCCATGAAAAGGTCTCGAGAGGATTCTATTGTTCGAATCCCAACTAAGAAAACATTCATTTAGTCTATTCAGTCTTTGCGAAAACCACGTGAATTGAAAACTAAGTTTGTTAGTTACCTCGCACGTCGGCATTACGCTATATACAGCCCTCGGGCCTGCGGCCCTCGGGCTGTATATAGCGTAATGCCTCCGTTCTCGGTAACTAACTCTTACCTATTAAACACTGACTAGTAGTAATTGTTTCACAGACGGATGAAAATKACTCTAGTTCCACAGTTCCCGTTGTATCAATACCCAATAAATCCTTTTAGCGATCTCTATTTCGCTGTGTAATATCCTCTATTTCTTCAAAACAGCCCGTGCAAATGCAAGAGATTCGTGGGTATAGAAGACAATGGAAATAGTTTGAAATCTCACGAGTTTTATCTACATCTCTTATTTTAGCACACAATTGAGGCTAACACAGCGTAAAACACTGGAAAACATCGCGCGCTTTGAAGGTTGTAAATTTGAYRTAAATATGATGTAAGTGTCCAAAATTCTGTAGATTTAATGGAAATCATTTACATCAAATTTACAACCTTTGAAGCGCGCGATTTTTTYCAGTGAAAGAGATCGCGAAACTCAACTATTAGACACAACACAACTAGGCATAACTTTTTCCTAMAATCATCGCATGCAACCAGCCAAAGTCGTCTTTACAACATGGCTACAACTATCGTAGAGATTCAATTACGCTCATGTTTTGAGGATGCATGACTTATAGGCATGTTGCATACGAGTGGTTCGGCCCTTAGTTGCCTGTGAAACGACCATGAGAGATATCGTCGGTTTTCTTAGAGTAACAAATCAAGACTTCTAGCAATATTTATCTCTTTTTATAGGACATGAATTCGTGGATTTGTACTATAGCGGTTTTGGTCGTTATTCTGGTGCAATATGAGTTTTCTTGTGGTAAATAACWTTTTTTTTACTGTTCATTCGTTGTACCTCGTACCTCGTACCCAGGAAGGGAGAGTGGACGTAAAAATAGTATGATAATTGACATTTTTGAAATGCTATATGYTCAATTACATAAGTTACATAGAGGACATCCCACTCATGAAAGGAGGTCTGCTTTTTTTCAAAATCTCATGTTTCAGTATCTGATTACAATGGCGTAATATAACAGCGACTAATGTTGTGACGACATGGGCGCGTGGATATATCAGATATGGATTCTATCCTCGAGTTTTGAAAAGATATGCTGCTCACGAGTGAGCATAGCAAAATTACCAATGAAGTCCAGTACAACTTATCTACTATCAAAAACAAGTCCCCTTGATCATCCACAGAGAAAGATACGCCTTTGTCTGATGTCTCTATATTTAAGAAATATAAAACGGCGCGCGTGTCTCTGTCCTCTGATATAAACACGGTGGGAGTTCGAAAAACACGAGAGAAGCAAGCTTAGGAACACGAGCGTAGCGAGTGTTTCTCTTGCTTCTCGAGTGTTTTTCAACTCCCACCGTGTTTATATCAGAAGACAGAGACACAAGCGGCCGTTTTATATTTCTTTTATAAAATTTTTCGAGCGAAAAGAACATTTTGCCGGTAAGCCGTATCTCTGTCCTCTGATATAAACACGGTCGTCAGCCAATCAGAGCGCACGTTATATATCAAAAATTTTATAAAATATGATATGATTAGCTCCTATGAAGTTTGTTCTCTAATTAACAAAACAGCACTGATATAAATTTCCATCATTACATATCTTGTGGGCTTGGTTTTGACATGTGCATACATTGGACATTTCATTGTTTTCTTCTAGCGGCTAGAACACGACGGAGGATGCATAGTAAAGAATGCCTTTATTTGTCAATCACCAATTCTATAAATGTCGACAGCAAACAATCATCAGGTGGGTTTATTAGCATTATTCATTGCCAAATAAATTATATAAGTTCAMACGCTTCGACAATGGAATTACATTGAAATTTAACGCCGAGAGCTTAAGATACATTTTTKWAATAGTCTCCTTCACRGTTACCTCCGCCATCTTAAAGGTAGCCGTGCCTTTGCATGCCTTTCACACCTACACACAAATTACACAGGTATCTATCATTGCACGCTCAACGGTCGTCTCGCTTCGATGCAAAGGCACGGCCAACCTTTCAAAGATTGCGCACATAACCGTAAAGGAAACTATTCTGTTACTAGCCACTCTTCATGAGTTTGTAAGGTTTCTTGTGAATAAATAATGCTTYTTTAATATTGTCGCCTCGATCCTTTATACCCTATTGTTTTCGTTTATTTAACAAAAAAACTGAACTGAAGTCATTGTTTCGTGCAGTTAATCCAAGACTTAAAGTKCACCTTCACGATTTTTTTTAATCTTTAAAACAATTCTTACGAACCCTAAAATAATTTCTGTGTTGGTTTGGTGATTATTTTGTAAACGGTTGGGATGGAATCGAAAAAATTAAGTGTTCCAACTTATTTTGTCTGTGCGGGGACTGGCGCGACTCTTGTGACGTCATCCCTGGCCATAAGTTCGGTCACAAAAGACTAAATGCCTTATAAAAGTCTATCTTTCTCACAAAAATCAATAAAACCGCTAAGGGACCGTGCAATAATTACCAGGAGAGAGGGCGTAAAAAGAGGGGGGAGGGCATTACATAAAATTGATGGCAAGATAGGGGGGCTCAAAGTAAAATTACCTAATTAACAGAGGGGGGCTTTAAGTTTCATTTAAACCTTTCATTATTTTCGATGTCTCTCAAAATGCTGGAAATTGCATTTCCAAGAGTTATTTCCTTCAAATTTTGATTTTTTTTTTCAAAATTTTCTGGGGGAGGACCAGACTCCCTTAATACTCCCGCCTTTGGCGTTCGTTAGACCCCAGACCCAAAATATATATCAAACACCGTAAAAAAGTAGGTGAGGTAACTTACTGACGTTTCGGACGTTAATCCTTCGTCGGAATAAAATGTTTTGACGTCCGAAACGTCTGAAATGTCAGTAAGTTACTTCACCTACTTTTTAACGGTTTTTAATTTATCTTTTTACACAACTGTTTCTTTCGAAACACCGACGCAGCTCACACTAGTTTACCGCTAGTTCCCACCAAGTAATATCAAAGTCGTTTTTGACCATAAAAACGTTACATAAGCCTTTTTTGGCCCTTCAAAACCTTTGCCAGGAACAAACTTATTTGAAAGAAGCAAGGGCACCACATTTGCTTGTCAGCTCCTCCTGAAAGTTTTTGTCTTTACACTTAGATCCAGATGAGTAAGTCACCTCTTGCATCTGGGTTCGTCTAGCTTTAGTGAATTTTGGGTTGCTACAGTTGACTCGACTCGCTTGTGCATGTTTGATAACTAAGGTTAATAGGTTTTGTCTTGTGCTTTCTTGCCGTGAGCTCAGTAGATTTGAATTTCAGCAAATTCCTTTTCCTCGGCACAGAATCCACTGTCAAGCTTTTGATAACAACAAATGCCTTTTCCTGGGATGACGTCAGAGTCAGTCCCAGTCTTTCCCGGTATTGAGACCAAAAAAAGAGCTCAAAGTGGRCATTTTCCTATGTTTGTAAGCTCACCAAATTAAAATTCGCTTTTTTATAAAACTGAAAAATTCTTTCACAGATATGTTTCCATTAACCTCAATTTTCATTTTAAACATAAAAAAAATCGTGAAGGTGCACTTTAACTCCGAAGAAGACAACTTGTGTTCTTGTCCGACTTTATTCTCAACTTTAGTAGACTCGTGCTTACTCACACGCGACACACTTACAAATTATTCATRCGTCACTTCCGGTTTTAACAATTATTTCTGACAAGGTCTATTGTCGGCGAACAAAAATCGAAGACGAAAAAATGGTCTTCCTTCGGACGCCCCGCGTAAAAAAAAATCTGAATGTCTCTATATTTGATTATTAGTTCGTGGATCTTGTCCAAAATTCCCAAAAGCACTAGAGTGTCCCGATGAACCAGAACATGAATGTAAAACCGACTCAGATTGTGCCAGTTCAAGCGACCCAGATAGCGGAGTGCTGTACAAGTGTTGTCTGGATGGTTGCTATTTGAGGTGTATCCGTACGTATACTTATTGTTTTTATCATAATCACCATCATTTTGTCTCAAGAATATTTTTATTGCCGCAAAAATCATGACATCTTGCTATTATATTTTATATTATATATTTTTTTTCAATGTATTGGACGTTTTATGTTGCAGAGGCCATTACTCATAAATCTATTGAATCATCTACTGCGCCTTGTTTGAAGGAACCAATACCACTTGAAAACGAATTAGGTGGGTTATCAACATAAAAATAAAAAATAGGTAAATATATATATAGGTGCAAACACTACTGACGAAGGCCTTACATTGGAATTCAAGACAAACATGACAACCTTAATTAMCGTTAACTGATACTCTTTTTCGCTCTTTCAAGACATGTCAATGGAGGAGGTTTTGAAATACGAACTAAATGAGTTCGATTTTACCGTTTGATACATTGCCTGTACTTCTTGCTAGAGATTCGTCTTTGTTTTGTTTTGTTTTGTTTTGTTTGATATAACATGATGGTAACAGTACGGCCTCATAGACTTTTTCTGAAATACAAAATCATAGTGCATTGTGGTCTAGCTTCAGTAAACAACTCCAAATTTGGCAGCAGAAAATGCCTATGTACTATCAACTCGCGTAGTCCACTCTAATTTGTGGTCTATCCGATATACATGTGCATATCTCAATCTGCAAACCATTTTGTAATTAACTGTTCACATTTTTCCCCGTAAATCACTATTATATTGTTTGTAMATGTACCCTATTTTGTACCGGGGCAGGAGCCCATTACTAGGAGCCTTCCTCTTCCCATTGGCTTGTGGAACGGCATTTACCCTTCTTGGTGCTATTTTTAGATTTTCCCGCCATTCCCCGCGCGCTTATTGAGATGCCGAGTTGTGATCGAACAGCCGCCGGCCGCCGCTATCAGGTGTTTTTAGATTGAATTTTAAGTTGTACAAGTGAAGAAATTTTCGCTTTTACAAAAACTATTTTGTAACAAAGCTTCAATGGCACCATTAACTATTATATTTAAATGTCTAAAGATAGTGAAAAGGTATAAAAAATAAGCGAAAAAGCTCATAAGCCCTTACATGAAAGAATCGACATTTCTGGTTTCTTTTACCGACGAATCTGATCAAAAAGCATGACAGTGAACACAAAATAATCTATTCTTATAATGAGTTCTTCATCTAAAAAATGTGACATCACAAATGTAAAAATTAGCATTTAATAAATTTGTTTGTGACAGTTTTGTACAATATTTTGCATCTAAACAAAAACTCTTCACAAATGAAGTTACCACGGAATTTCGGCGCCTTTTTTCTTGAACAGCCGATAAACAGTCCTCTAAAATGCTGTTGTTTTATGGTCATATAAATTAGTCAGCCCAAAAAGAGTTCCATTCAATGTCCATTTGCATGTAAAAATTTGCAATTAAGTTAACTTAAGTTACTTGCTTCAGTCATGTTCAGTTTGCTCAAGTTTGCTCACGTTGAAAATTTTCCGCTTTTGTACAATTTGAACCTTCGTTCCTCGTCTTCAACAGCCATTTGATTTTAAATTCTGGTTATCAGTTAAAGATCCAGAGTGTGATTTGAGTCGATTTTTGTTGCTTTTGCTGTCCAATAAATTTTGTTGGTCTTCGGCTGCTCAATGAAAAGTTCATAATTGTTGGTTGTTGTTTTTTCTCCAGATTTTCCCCTGTATTCCCAAGAGTAATTACACCTGTTTTCTATCACTGGCTTCCTCATCGGCTAAATATGAAGCGAAAGGTGATTCTGCTTTCCTTTTTGGGGACATATTTCTACTAAAAGTTAACTTTAAACATCCTGAAAATGAATTTTGAAAAAGTCTAGTACCAAGATCTTCCTCGCCGGCGGTCGACCGGCGGCCGTCGGTCATTCAGAAACCTATTGTTCAAGTCGCTTTCTGATTGGCTGTTTTGCGCTGAATTTATAATGAGCAATTCTAAAAATAGCACCAAGAGGGGTAAATGCCGTTCCAAGAGCTTATGAGAAGAGGAAGGCTCCTAGTAATGGGCTCCTGACCGGGGGTGGTACTCCCTCCCCAACTTGAGTGAGGGTGTGCCGCACGACCCTCAAAACCCTTATCCTATCCCAGACCAATACTCCAGTTTCGAGATCTTATTTGTGCAGTTTAACCTCGAAAGCATGTAATATATTTTTATGTAATGTATACAGAACGAGAGAGCGTGTTGTATCGGGAGATAAAGATCCGAGCCGAAGGCGAGGAGGATCTTTAGCCCCGATACAATACGCTCTCGAGTTCTGTATACGGCTTATCAAACTTTATAATAATTCTCATTTTCATGTTTTTGAAAAATTGAATATCTCGCTGCATTTCATCGATTAACCCTATTCAGACTGGGCTTTTTTTTTCAATCTGTGAATACTTTTTAATTTCAAAGGACAAAAGTCTTCAGGGAGTTCCAAAGTAGAAATAAAAGAGTTTTTTCAGCTATTCAAAAATCAGAATTCAAAAACCTGTTAGAACACAGAAGATGAAATTGCAGCTCAATACTTGACAACAAATGAAAATGTTGACAATTCTTATCTTAACTCAGAAATTTCTCCTGACGAAATATCTGATGCTATTCAGCGACTGAAAAATGGTAAATCACCCGGAAGAGACAATGTTTTGAATGAATTACTTAAATGTGGCGAAAAGCATCTTATATCACCACTAATAAAACTTTTCAACTTCGTTTTCAAATCCAATAACTTTCCTGRGGAATGGAGTTATGGTTTTATCATACCGATATTCAAAAAAGGAGACGAGAGTCTCGCGGAAAATTATCGAGGTATAACTTTGTTATATTATGTTATATATTATACATGTCTTGGGAAATTGTTTACTCAAATCCTTAACAAAAGACTAGAATATTATAGGTAAATTCATTGGGTGACGAGTGAATTCCGCGTTGAATTCACGAGTAAAGCCGATATCGCACGAATCGCGGAGCGATTTTGTCCATCGATGGTGATGTCTTTCTGTTGGCGCTAGAAAGGAACGCGCCGAAGGCGCGATCCTTTCTTGACGGCCGTACGGCCGTCAGCGCCTTCGCTTGGGGGATTCTCCCGGGAGCACTTCCCCCGGAGGGGGTTTTTCTTATACGATCAGATTGTCATAGGGTTTGGGGGTGGGGTGGGGGAGGGAAAGGGGAAGTGGGAGGAGGAGTACAAGTGTACAACGTGTACAAAGTCGGGAAAGTGTACCACGGGCACTTGCCCGTTGTACGACGATCCGAAACGCGGGCAAAGATATAGATGTACAAACCCTCCCACATGTACACAACCATTACGTCACCATGGTGAAAGCAGCAAAACTCGCAGCCCTGGGAACAGGTGCAATAACATTGATGAGAGAAAGTCACAAGCACAGCATACCATACGGAGGAGGAACACACAGAGCAGCAGAAAGAGCGGTAGCGAACGAAATACCGCCAAAACCGGAAGGGGGATTGCCAGGAAAACCAGACGGCGGACCTGGACCAGCACCAATAGGAGGAGACGAAGGAGGAGATGAACCACCAGAATCAAACACAGGAGGAGGAGGAGGATTAGGGGGAGCCCTAGGACAAGGAACATCACAACGAAAAACACACAGATTAGGAGGATGGGTAACGGAATCCTCAACAAGAACAGTAACATACAAAAAAGTAATGTTACACCACATCAAAAACAGCGTAGACGGAGTAAGAATATCGCCAAAATACAACAAAACACAGAAAGACATCACCATCGATGGACAAACATTCACATACACAAACAATTACTGTGAAACAGGATGGTGGGAAGTACCATGGGATTACCTATGCATGTACATGACAAACGGAGACGTACGAGAATTATTCCAAAAAGCCGACTGGATAAAATATAAACGAATCAAAGTACGAATGTTCAACTTCATGGGACTGAACGACAAACAAACAACAGCAGGAGGAGCACCAGTCTTCACAACAGCACCAACAGAAAACCTATGGATCATGGTACTAAACGACCAAGAAGACCTACTACCGTGGAGAGAACCAACCCAAGGACAAAAACCAAACTTGGACGGCACAACACCGCTATGCGATGACCGAACAAAAAGCGAACTAAAAGAAATGCACTACAGCCTAACTGTCAACAAACAACAATCAACAAACTATGCACCAAACGAACTAATGGACCCCCTACAAAGGTGCGCACACCAGATAACAACACACTACCTGCCAGACTTAGAATTAGAATTCAGCCACGAATTAGCAGGAGAAGCGAGATTAGCACAACATCCAGTATGGGACAGCAAAGACCACGCACAACTACTATTTCCATACAGCAACAAACAACACTTCGAACCACCAGGAAACCAAAAACAAAACTACCAAGAATCAGTAGAAGCACAAAGCATAACACCCCGAGAACACTTAGGAAGACTAAACCCAATATGGAAACAAGGAGGTCAAAATTTCGATAAACAAGCACCATCCAACTACATACTAGGACGAAACATAAACAACGCCACATACCAATCAATCGACAGCAACATCTCTGGCACATTTCCAGGAATGTACGAAAAACAATTAATAGGAGATCACAGATTGTATAACATTGTGCCATGCGTAGCGTTGAAAGGAGCGCCCATACAAGGACCAGACAACAAACCAATCAAGTATAATATTTCATTCATGTGCGAGTATGAAATTACAGTAGAATACAAAGAACGACACAGAGGATATCCATCGAGGTACGACTGCCCGATATTGCCTATAAAGGTGTCACCAGAATTCTACGGGCCCACACTATATAGCGCAGGGTGGGGAGAACAACAAACCAGAAGAGGAGCAAAAAGACGACATGAAGAAGACGTGGTGGAGCATAGTACTACAGAATGTAGCGAACTTCAACATTGAAGAATACTTAGAAGAAAACCTAGAAAAAACAGACTACGAATGGATAGTAGTACGACACTTCGACGACCCAAATTGTGTAGTACACGGAAATCACTATCACATAATCCTAGAAAACGTAAACAGAGAGATAACACTAAGTCCAACAAGAGAACCATGGTACAGAGCACTAGACAGAAAAAAAACTGGAATACAAATACAAACGGGATTCAGAACAATATACGAAGCAGTGAAATACCTAACAAGAGACAAAAGAGTACTCATCAGTGGATCAACAGAAATGCTAAGAATCTACGAAGAAGCAAAAAGAGGAAAAGAACCACAACAACAACAACGAGACGAAGAAAGACCACTAGATGAACAAGAAGAAGACTACATAATCACAAATGAAAGCGCACAGGGAGCCCAACTACGAACATTCATAGACATCTTCGAAAAAAGCAAAACACACAATGGCTATGAATTCCTACGATGGGTAAAAGCTCAAGACATCAACACCTACAGAACAATCTTCGATCACGTATACGCAAAATCAAGAACAAAGTACTACGAATGGGTAGACATAGCAATCAACGACCAAAGAGACAACAGCATGTTATGGAGCTGGAAAGAAACGATGGAAAACTTCGAGCCATCGGACCCAACGAAATACCACACAATAGGAAGAACAAGAAAGATAATCCACGCATGGTGTACACACAACGGGATCAACGTGTGGGACCTAGCGGAAGACATAAAGATGATAGTGGACAAAGAGGCCAACAAAATCAACGCAATACTATTTGAAGGGGAATCAAATGCTGGTAAAACAATACTAGCAAATTCAATAACAGACGCATTCTACCGATCAAGCGCAACAGTAAACAACGCAACCAACTGTGGGTTTACATGGGAAAAAGCAGTAAATGCAAGAATCATAAAACATGAAGAAGCAACAATGATAAACACGCAGACAGAAGAGTATAAACAGATACTTGGCGGCGAGCCATGTATGGTAAACGTGAAAAACAAACCGATGGAGAGACTTCAAAGAACGCCGCTCATAATGACAGGAAATCACCCGCCATGGATCACCGTGGGAGAGGCAAAGACATATGAGAACAGATGTATCATATACGAAGGGTTAAAGGCCAACTCCGCCCTAAAAGACGTGTATAAAAAGCTGCACCCGAAAGTCTGGCTTCATTACATCGAAGTGATAGAGAAGAAAAGAGCTCAACAACTAAAACGAAAACCAGCAGAAAGCAGTGAAGATGAAGAAGACACCCTGCCAGAACCCCCAAAACGCCTCAGGACCGAAGCAGAAAAAGTTGAATACGATCCCAACGACTCACCAAGAAGTGAGGTGGACGAGACTACAGTGGCGAGACTCAGATCAATGGATGAGTTCATTGAAGAATGCAAGCGACATATTCAAGAAGAACGCGACGAGGAAGACGTGCATGAAGGACGACATCAAAACTCTCCACAAGATGTTACACTTCGAACTGGCGGCGAGAGCACCACAACAGTTGAAGAGCGGGGAGTGGTCAACGAACAGAGAGACCTGGAAAGCAAAGAACAACAAGCCGAGCGAGAAACAATTGTGGTACCCACTGATGGCATCATCACTGGAAGGCTGCGAGACTTGCTGGAAACGATGGAATGCATGGGTGAGAATGGTGATGGAGAAGCAGTACAACAAAATGATCCAGGATGCAGCAGCGAAGGAAACTGAAGCAGCATACGGATACCAATTAGAAGAAGCAGATGAAAGAAAAGTAGTAGTGAAAAGGCCCTACGAAGAAGACGACGAAGATGATGTCGACCTTCGCCCCCCAGCATGCAAAAGATTAGAGCTGTTCAGCGATGACGAGTATCTCGAAGCAGAAAAGCAGGACGCAAGCCAAGTGTTGGCCCAAGAACTAGAAGAAGAACAAGAAACAAATGTTTAGAACTCAAGCCGCGGAGCGGCAGTGACCGCGAAGCGGTCTTATCGAGTCGCGAAGCGACGAGACGTATCCATGTAATCAACACTATTTTTTTGTAATCAACATTTTATTGTAAACAAAGATTTTTATTACACAATATGTTGTTATTTATTTGATTTCATTTAATGGCTTTCTATTTTTAATGTCCTGAATCAGTAAATTGAATCTCATGCTCAATTTTAAAGGAGAAAAAAATTATAAAAACAATAACAAAAAAAGGTTAGAAATGAGCGTGCGTTTGCAAAATTGAAGCGATCGCTCGTGAGTTCAGTGCGAGAATTTCATTTTCAGTTTTTTTGTTTGTTTTTTTTTTTTCATTTTAGCTAAAGAAATATTACTTTTTAATAACTAAAACAAACAAATTTTTAGCACTCGAATGGCTTTTCAGTATTTTTACTGACAAACTCAAACCGGTTTTTCAGAGCGAGTTTGCAACGATCATCGGCGGACGGCAAACTTGCAGACAGACCAGGGCCACAAATCCTAAGATTTCTACAGTTTTCCATTCTTATCTCGATTAGAAATATCATCTATGAAGAAAAGACTTCGAAAGGTTGTTACTGAAAAATTGAAAACAAGTTTAAAGTCATATTTTGAGTCTTATTTGGACGAACGAAACTCGTCGAAGTCAGTAGTAGCCCTGACTTGCCAAGCAGACTTCAAAACCTACTTCATGTTTACTTGTGAAAGAAAGCGTACTAGTAGACATTCTCAATCAAAAAGTAGCTGAAAAACTCAAACACAGAAACATTTCATAAATTCATCCCATAACTTGTTCTGGCATGGAATATTCAAGAAAAAATGACAAGCGAAACAGCTTTAGTTTTCTGCAAGAAACGGCGTGCAAGAAACGGCGAAGGCCGCTCAATTTTTGTTTACGTAGATGAACTGATCTTGACAAACTTTAAAATGTATTACACTACCATGCAGGTATTTAATAAATAGTATTTTAATAATTAATTGTGACGTTATATTTATGAGTTTTGGGGTATTTTTTCGTTTGAAAACGTTGCTTTTATCGAGTTAAACTTAACTAACTTAAATGTGTTTTTGTTTTTGCTACTTAATTTGCAAAAAATAAAAATATTTTGCTTCTTGAAAATCTAGAGAAAGTGAATAGACAAGTTGTTGGGAACTAAAACAATTAGATAATAACTTTTGCCAGGGTTTTACACTGAAAAAAGCTGAATTCAACGCACCGCTTAAAGCTAGCTCAGATCAGTTTAAAAAAAGCAATTCATTCACGAAATCAGTGCATGCTCTGGCAAAATTGATTATCCAAATTTTTYAGTGTCTTTAGATTCTGATTTTAAAAAGTTACTAAAGCCTTTGACTCTTGCTCGTACAAGAAAAAGACGACAAGCTGCTGTAATGGCGACAACTACTTCGTCCGTAACAACAACAATGGCAGAAAAAACAGTGCCGGAAAAAACATTTACAGATAATGCYTCCAGCAAACCGAAAGAAACAATTGTTTCTTACACAGATGACGAAATAATCGCTCTGAAAGACAGCCTTACGGCAGCAAACACAAAGAAAAGTACCGCGTCATCTGTTCGCCGTTTCCAGTCATGGTACCAACAAAAATATGGTTGTTATGTGGATATGAATCAAATAAGTAAAGATGATGCACCTTACCTCCTAAAGCACTTCTTTCTTGAGATAAGGCAAACCACAAAAGGCAACGAAGGGAAAGAATACGAGCCAGGGACGCTTCAAACTTACAGAAATGGGCTGCGAAGATACTTCCTCGAAAGACCATGTCCGCCAGCGCCCGACAACTTTGACATAGAAAAAACCCCAGGTGTCGAATTTGAAGAGATTTCAAGCATCTTGTCACTGAAGAAAAAAGATTTGAAGAAAAAAGGTTTTGGCAATAAACCTAATGCAGCTCAGTCTTTAGAAGATGAAGAAATAGAGCAAATGTGGTCGTCCGGAGCCATTGGTCTCAGCAACCCAAAGTCCTTGTTGAATCTTGTATGGTGGAACAACATGATGCACTTAGGAATGAGAGGAGTAAAGGAGCATTATGACTGCCACATCGATGACTTCGAAGTAACGGAACAGTACATCCAATACAGTGAGCGACAAACCAAGAATCGCCAGGGCGATGAGGGCAATAGGAAACGCACCAGAAAGTACAACAACAAAATATGGCGTACTGATGGCGGAGAAAGGGACCCATACCGCGCATTTCTCGAGTATTTGAAGCACCGACCAAAAGGAGAAAAAG